GGATGCTTCGCGAGTTGACACTTTCAACAGCAATGCACAAAAGAGTAGTAAAAACACAGTCCCAAGTTCAGAGAGCCAAGTCTAAGGATTTTTCATTCCCAATATCAGTGTTTCAAGGTCTGTCACCCAAACAAGACTCACAGAAATGTCACACCAGAACAAGAACTGGAACTGGCCATGGCTAGTCTAGTGAAGAGAAGGACCAGGGGAGACATGATAGAGGTCTTCCAATATTTGAGAGGCTGTCACAGAGAAGAAGGGGTCAATCTATTTTCTAAAGCGCCTGTAGGCCAGACAAGGAATAATGGATGGAAACTGAACAAGGAGAGATTTAATCTGGAAATAAGGAGAAACTTTCTGACAGTGAGAACAATCAACCAATGGAACAGAAGTTGCCCTCGGAAGTTGTGGGAGCACCATCACTTGAGACCTTCAAGAAGAGATTGGACTGCCATTTGTCAGAAATGGTGTAGGGTCTCCCACTTGGGTGGGGGGGGGTTTGGACTAGATGACCTACAAGGTCCCTTCCAACTCTGATTATCTGTTATCTGTTAAGAGATCACACAGTTGTTTCCAAGGAAGAACTTGGATCAAGGGTGCCTCTTAAATCAGGCTTTAGCCAGATCTGTTCAATTAAGATAGTTACTCCTTTGCTTGGCAAGGAGCCTCTTCCATTGTTGTGGCCCACTGGCGGCTAGTGGAGCTGGCAGCAGAGTCAGACAGTGAGGAGGTTGGGGAGGAACATGGGCCATTCCTGGAGGCTGAGGAAGGCTAAGTCAAGGATTCTGTGTCAGAGGCAGGGATGGGGCCAGGGCAGTCTGGCAGTTATCAGCTGCCTTTGGAGTTGGACAGCAGTGAGGCAGAAGAGCAGCTGGAGCCAGTTCCCAGCCTGCGCATGCGCAGAGCTGTCAAAAGAAAAGAACAATTACGAACTAAGGGTTGACATAGAAGTAAGGTCACATGTGAACGGTGAATGGCCCCTCCCATAGGGATTAAAAGAGGAGCAAAAGGGGAGGGGGCTTTTGCAGGAAACAATTTGTTTGTTCATTGCAGCAGCATGAAGATCTGCCTGTGCACCTCAGAAACTCTGTGCCAAGCCCTTCCTTGTCAGCACTGCGTTTGAAAATATTTAGAAACAAATGAGAAAGAGAGAAGGGGGAGAGAAATGAGAGAGCTGGAGGGAGAGAATGAGAGAGGGAAATAAATGAGAGAGAAGGGAGAAAGAAAAGAAGAAAGAAAGAAAAAGAAAAAAAGAGAGGAAGAGGGGGTGGAAAAAGAGGATAAACAGAATGAGAGGGGGGGAGGGGGGAGGGAGAGAGAGAGAGGGGGGGTCCATTTCCCACAAAAACACCAGGAGCAACAAAACCCTGGATAGGCATGGCTGGGGGGATCATGTGACTGGGTGGGAGTGGTGTTGAGTTGGTCACGCCCACACAGCCACGTCCACCTAGCCAGTTGTTAGGGCAGAGAGCCACTTGCTAAAAAATTTGAAGCCTAACCCTGGTTGTGTCCCATACAGTTTGCAAATGATGCTTCTTCTTTCCTGTTTTCTTTAAAAATATTGTATACCATTTTGGTGTGTGGAAGAACTACCTTATCCAGAGTTATTGATGAATCAGCTCCAGCACCAGGCTATCCCAAATCTAGAGACACTCAATTTCAGATAGGGCTGAGATCAACTTGCCATCCCCATCCAGACCTCATAATCAGCACATACTGGGTAGTCACCACCACTATACCAACACTAGTGCAATCCAGGGTGAAAATGTACAAGTGGGTGAGGAAACACACCATGCTTAATCTGGAGCATCTGGAGCATCTGGAGTCAAGATGGGGCATGGGCTTGGGGCAAGGTCTTTCCTTTGGTTCTCAGCTTCTTGGATCCCAGAAAGTTAGACTGAGAGAATCTCTTTGGCAAGATGAGTTCATGGGCTGTCCCAACAGGAAAATTGCAAGTGATTATTTCTCTGTTGGCAGGCATTTGGTTATTATGCTCAACAGGGGATGGGATCTGGCTGTCATTTTGAAAAACATTTCTAGAAAATTATCATTTTGCATAGAAGGTTTTTAGGAGGTTCTTGAATTCCAAGCATAAGAGTCATGGTGGCGCAGTGCTGAGAATGCAGGATTGCAGGTTAACTCTGCCCACAGCCTGGACTTCGATCCTGATCAGCTCAAGGTTGACTCAGTCTTCCGTCCTTCTGGAGTTGGTAAAATGAGAACCTAGACTTTTGGACACAATATGCTGGCTCTGTAAACTGCTCAGACAGAGCTGTAAAACACTATGGAGTGGTATATAAATCTAAATGCTATTTCTATTGATTTCTTTACAGAAAATGCAGTGATCAATTAATGAGGGGGAATTTGGTTTATTAAATCTGGAACTATATCATTAAGGTTACCTATTATCAAATATGAAATGGTGGAAGCCAACAGTTGGGATTAATTTTCCAATTTGGGCAACTTTGGAATGTACATAAATAGCATCTTTGGTTGGATTGATAGTATTGGGATCTAAATACAATGGAATTATAGAATTCCTTGAAACAATTGTAATTGTTAGAAAGCTACAGAATGAAATTCTAATAAAAATGATTCTTTTTTCCTTTCTTTTAATAATTTTATTAAGATTTTTAAAAGAAAAAATAACAATTTTAAAAAGAACAACAATAGAAGCTACAGAATCCAAAAAAAGGAAAAGAAAGAAGAAAAATGTGAAAAAAGCAGCTTCTTATCCTGAATACATTCCAACATTTTCATAATCTCTTCACCTGTCTTAATTAATAATATAAAGCTCTTATTCAATAACCCATTTCTTAGTAAGAAACAAATGAAATACTGTAAATATCTATTTGTCAACAAAAGGTTCAATCAACTTTCTACATCTCATATTTTTGCAACTGTATAGGCAAGAACCCATTTACAGGTTATATACACACATAGACATTGTCTGTCTATCTATCTATCTATCTATCTATCTATCTATCTATCTATCTATCTATCTATCATCTATCTATCTATCTATCTCACTATCTAGCTAGCTATTATAATAATCTCCAGATGCAGATAGACAGGCAAGTACTAGCAAATCAACCAGACATTATGTTAGTAGGCATGGACCAGAAAACAACAGTGGTGATAGATGTAGTGCTGCAACATCAGGAAAAAGTATGAGAAGCTGGAGAAATATCAGGGCCTGAAGAAGGAGGAACAAAAGATGATGTGGAAACCAAATGCCAAAATGGTCCTGGTGATGGTAGGAGAGCTTGGGACTGTGACTCCAAAATTGGGAGAAGGGAATTAGATAGAGAGATAAGTTCCAATGCTCAATCCATCCCAAATACTAACCATTCCAGAGGTATCAACTCTACAAAATGTGGAACGTTTATCTACTCAGATAAACATTCCACATTTCAACTCAAAAGTTATTCACAAATATAAAATAATCCTAACATCCTAATATAAAAACACTACAACTTAACCTAATAGAGTTAGTTTCCCTTATGAAAAGAAAAATCAATTACACAATTAGATAATAATCATTTAGATATTTAATAATTAGGATAGAGAAAATAGCTAACAAGCAAAAGATTTAAACCCCAAATAACCATATCCAGTATGTCACATTTTTTGAAACAATCTATATCCCATTATATGACACGAGCTCCAGGGTGTGTGTATCAACATGTTAGTCTTGGATGTAGAGACAAACTGAGTATCGTATTAGTAAAAAAACTGCCTGGATGCTCATGGTATCCTTTCTCAGGCTTCTGGAGCTGGTTTCTGCAGGGGAACTTCATAAGGATATCTAATGAAGACCAGGAGTATGTGGCCTCCTTGGTAACTATGAGCTTCTCTCAGGAAATCTCAGGCCAGACACATCAAGCCAGATGTACATTAAACCTCTTCTTTCTCTCAGAGCAGATGTCACACTCCAGAGTTGGAAGGGATTCCAACCACCATGTTGCTATATCATCCACTTGTGACTGTATGAATGTAGGTTTGTCGCTTGTATCCTTACGATTTATATTGACTATTTCCTAATATGATTTGATTGATTATTGTACCCTATGACTATTATTAAGTGTTGTACCTTATGATTCTTGACTCTTTTCTTTTATGTTCACTGAGAGCATTTGCGCCAAGACAAATTCCTTGTGTGTCCAATCAAACTTGGCCAATAAAAGAATTCTATTCTATTCTATCACAATTCAGTTGCATATAGAAAGCACCATGGACCAGAATCTTGCAACTTATCATTTTGATGGGACTCTCAGACTAGGGAGTTCTTCCTTTCTTCTTGGTGCCCATGTTGACCAGAGAGTAATCAGGAGAAGGATCTGAATTGGCATCAGTGCTTCATTCACTGTCAGCTGAGTTTACAGGCAAAGATCTAGGTGGGATCCAGTCCATCCGTGCCTTGCAACCTGACTCATATTTATTAAAACAAACAATACAAGCAGCCTTCAACTTATGACCACAATTGAGCCAAAAAAATTATGTAGCTAAGTGGAACATTTGTTTTCATTTGAGTTTTGCCCTATATTAAACCTTTCTTGCTGCAGATGTTAAGTTAGTAACATGGTTATTAAGTGAATCTGGCTTCCTCATTGACTTTGCCTGTCAGAAGGTCAAAAAAATTATTCCAATGACCCTGGACATTGCAACTATAATAAAAACCACTCATTTGCCAAGCATATGATTTTTGATCATATGACCATAGGGATGATGCAATGTTCATTAGTATGAAAATTGGCCGCAAGTAACTTTTTCGGTGCTAAAAAAGTTATGACTTTTTTCAAAGTTGTAACTTTGAGCAATCACTAAATGAACTGTTGCAAGTTGAGGAGTACCTGAAGTCTTTTTCTACCATGACTTGAAATAAACTTGGCTTTCTGTAGGGGGACCTTGGAGTGGGAAATTAAAAATGTCAGTAGTTACTTTTCAGAACTGTTAACTGATATTTGTAAATATACCTATCTAAAACTCACAATTCTATTTTATTTTGACATTACATATTCTTTTGTATTGAGGTCAGGTCTTAGGAAAATAATGAAACACTTGGGCATGAAGATGCAGCCAAGAAGTCCAGCATTGGAGGCCAGGATGGAGAAGACCTGCACAGCCACCATGTATTTCCCTTTGGTGCTCAGGTAGGTGGGCAAGAAGGACACCCAGACACTGCAGAAGACCAGCATGCTGAAGGTGATCAACTTGGCTTCATTGAAAGACCCAGGCAGATTCCTGGCCAGGAAAGCCACCGTGAAGCAGATGGCAGCCAGGAAGCCCATGTAGCCAAGGGCACCATAGAACATGGCAACAGAGCCTTCATTGCACTGTAGAATGATTTCTTCAGATTGTGAATGCATGTCAGTCTCAGGGAATGGAGGGAAAACACCTAACCAGATGCTGCAGAGAACAACTTGGAAGCCACTGCAAGAGAGGATAATGGAGTTGGCCAAACTCTTTCCCAGCCATCTCTGAACATTATTCCCTGGTTTTGTGGCCCAGAAGGCCAGCACTACTGTGATTGTTTTGGCCAAGACAGAAGAAATGGCAGCAGAGAAGATGATGCTGAATGCCGTTTGTCGAAGAAGGCAGGTGACTCTTCTTGGCTGGCCAATGAACAAGAAGGGGGTGAAGAAGGAAAGCAGGAGACAAATCAGAAGGATATAAGAGAGGTCCCGATTGTTGGCTTTGACTATAGGAGTTTCTTGGAATTTAATGAAGATTCCCAAGACCAAGAATGTGATTGAAGTTAGGAACAAGGCATTGGAAGTCAAGATGATTCCTAATTTTTCTTGATAGGATAGGAAAGTCTTTGTTTTGGGGATACAGTGATCTCGGTTGTTGTTTGGATGTTGATCTGGTGGACATTTGCTGCATTTTTCTGCATCTAAAAAAGCATAAGAGTAACATTTACTTTAAAGCTATGTGCTAACTTCCCCTATTGCAATGTTGACTGGGCTGCCAGCAGTTGTGTGTTTCTCTCTCCCCTGGTCCATGTAAAATTTGTCTTGCACAAAATGGTTCCTGTGTCCAAAAAGGTTGAGGTCGGCTTCCATGGAGCCTTATCTGTCTGTTCCAAATTGAAGACAAACCTTTTTTGGGTGGATTCCTGTATTATAGGCAGAATAATGGTTGCTTGCCTCTGATCTAATACATGACAGGATGCCCTGGAACCTCTAACTTTTATGGGAAATGGGGTGCATAATAATGTGAAACATGAAAAGTGCGAAGAAGACCAGTGGTGGGATTCAAAACTTTTTACTACCGGTTCTGTGGGCATGGCTAGATGGGTGTGGTCATGTGACTGGGTGGGCGTGGCTTTTTTGCTTTTTTTGTTTGCTTTTTTGCAGCCACCCCCCCACTCGTTTCTTGAGCCTTCTGGTCTCAGGCAAGCCTCCTGGGGGAAGTTTTTTCTCCCAGGAAGCTCCCCTGGGGCTCAGGAAGGAAAAAAATGGAGCCTGGAGGGGGAATGCAGCACTCCCCCCTCGCTCTGTTTTGGGGCCTTCTGGGCCACAGGGGAGCCTCCTGGGTGAAGCAATAAGACAAGCTAGGGGAATCCCACCACAGCTGATCGTATAAATAGGTGATTGTCAGGAGGGAAAAGAAAAGAAATACATTAAGGGGCGAGCATCAGGCAGGCGGGCTGAGTGAGCATCGATTAAGACAAAGGATAGGAGAGGTCAACTCCCTGGTGAAGCTAAGATTTTTTTTCTCCAATTGTTTTTATGTTCTGTTCCCACTTTAACCTCCAGAGTTAAACCTCTTATCATTTAGTAGAGAAAAAAATATGCATATTAGATGTGAATTGATAAAAAGCTTATCAAAATGCCTTCATGGAAATTTTTTGAGGTACGTGGTCTTCCTAGAAAGGAAAGTTTCCCCTTTCCTCTGGTGTCACCCACCTTCCATGGTGGAGATGGTTCCTTCTGCACAGGGAAGACAGTCGTAGCAGCACATGGGCCTCCCTTCTTGAGCCACCTTCATGAATCCGGGATGGCAGCTTTCCACACACCTGGAAGGAGGCAGGGGCTGAACAAAGGAAGGAAGACCAGGAAATTATTTATGATTTAATTTCCAGAAGGGAGCATAAGAGGGAGAATTTGGTGATCTCCTGCTTATATTTAGCTTTGCTAAATCTAAAGCTTATACAAAGAACTCAGAAATGTGCTTGTTTGCACATTGCCTCCATTCTTTTTCTCTAATATTCTGTACATGTCCATTTTAGTTTATGTTCTAAATTTACATGTTACATTGCTAAAGATAATGTTTAATGCACTTTTTTCCTTGGGGAAAGAAACCAAACCTACCCTGGGTCAAACATTCCTTGCTTTGAGATGACTAGAGAATAGTTTCCTTAAACAGACAAATATATATATTTCTTAAAGAGAGCTTGATATCTACCCAACAAATGTGTTGCTTCTCATGGAGGATGTAAATGGCATTCAAAATCACTCTGTGACCCAAGAAAGCAATCCTGTTGGTAAGAGATTCACAAAAAGTGAAATAATTATTTTCTCCACCTTGTTCAGCTTATTGATTTCCACTATAACCTTTGGATCGACCATGAACTTGAAATCTAGGGATCCTTGTTTTTCTAGGCTGCCAAACATCAGTTTCCTAATTGACCTGTTGTGATATAGCCAATTAACAATGTCCAGGTCTACTGTTAGTTCTCC